GTGGCTTTGGTGACTTTATTATGGAGTAACGGGACCCCCCAAATACTTTCCAAGATCATTGACCTCCTCAAACCTGGACCTTTGAGAAACAGCCTGACGAATGCTTACTGGACAATTACTTGAAAAGAAAATTTGAGTTTTATCAGAGCTAATACGATGTCCTGTTTCATCACAAAACCTATCCAAAACACCCTTGATCATCGAAACTTGATCCATTGACGCTTTAACAAACAACACTAAATCGTCTGCGAAGAAGAGATAGGATAACCCAAGGCCCTCCATTGAGAGATAAATCTCCTTTCAGTATTCTGAAATAACTTTCGCCTTTATAGCTTGAGACAGTCTCTCCATACATAAGACAAATAAATAAGGCGATAACAATCACCCTGTTGAATACCTCTTGTAGGCTTAAAGGAATCCGTAAGATCCCCATTCCATAGAATCTGTGTCGACACGGATCTAACACATCACATGATACGAGAAATAAGTAACACCGGTATGCCAATTGTATGAAGAGTGCTTTCGATATAGTTCCATTCTAGGCGATCATAAGCCTTCTCCAAATCCACGTTGATTGCCATACATCCTATTCTACCCGTCTTCTTTGTCATTGAATGAATAACCTCATAGGCAAGAATAATGTTATCTGAATCTGGTGGCCTGGAACAAAACTAGCTTGATTTTCTACAACCCATTTAGGAAGAAACAACTTCAAACGACATACAATTAATTTAGTAATAGTGTTATAAAGAATATTACACAGACTAATAGGTCTGAACTGAGTAATGGAGACGAGATTATTAATATTCGAGATCAACACCAATAGAGTCTAATTCACCCAATCGGCTAGATAGTAATCATTAAAAAAACGATTAACAAATTGGAAAACTGACTCACCAACCGTGTTCCAATTTTTCTGAAAAAACTTTGTATGGATGCCATCCACGCCCGGGGCTTTCAAGGGAGCCATACTAAAGATAAAACTTCTAACCTCTTCCAATGAAATATCACGCAGCAAAGGCCGAAGAGTACCATCCCCATAACGAAAGAAATTACACCTCCCAATTTCAGTATTAGATACCATTCGCTCGCTCATAAAAAGATTGTGGAAAAAAGTAACTGCATGAGCTTTGAGATGTGCATGATGACTACATCAAGAACCATCAGGCAATTTCAACATACTAATCGTGTTGCACTTCCGGGGATTAATAGTAGACGCGTGGAAAAATGAGGTATTTCTGTCCCCATTCGCGATCTAAGTATTTCGAGCTTTTTGGTTCCACAAGCTCTCTTATTGAGCGAGAACTACATTCAACTCCTTTTTAAGCTTCATATATTTCTAATAAAAAAGGTCATTTGATATATCCACCGCTTTTTCAATTTCATGGATTCTAGCAAGCAACAGATTATTACGCCTCATAATATTCCCAAACAACTCCTTATTCCACTTGCTAATTTTAGCTTGGAAACCAAGTATATTCTCGTAAATGTCTCTATCATTTCTCCAAGAATTCATCAGTAAATTTGGGAAATATGGGTGCTCACTCCAAGCATCAATATATCGAAAAGATCGATTATTAGAAGTCTCCTGTTGGTCCCCAAAATTAAAACGAATAGGTCGATGATCCGAACCTAATTTTTGGAGATGAAAGACTTTTGAATGTTCAAAACATTCATACTACTCAACATTGTAAATACACCTATATGGCCGTTGAGAGAGGGTTCCACGTTTTCAAGTGAACTTTGGACTCGAAAACCCCATATCGATCAGCCTTGTATCAAACATAAAATCATCGAAAACTCCATGGCGACGTTGAGAGCCACCTTGACGTTCATCGTAATTACCAATGACATTAAAATCCCCACCAAGCATCCACGACAACCCTGAACCTGGATCCAATTCTCTCAGATGCCTCTTCTAATCCCAATTGCAGGGCTAACATAGACAAAAGTAATAAAGCAATGCTGACCTCCAGCCATCATAGAACACGCTGCATGAATATACTGTTGAGAAATAACAAGGATAGTAATCTGAAAAGAATTCCTCCAAAGTATCCAAATTCCGCCAGAAAAACCCGAAGCTTTAATACGGTAGGAGAACTCAAAACCCGATTACCTGATAAACTGATCAGTAGCTATACCACTAATTCTTGGTTTAAAAATAACAACAACATCTTGTCTTTTAGACTTCATCAATAACTTAAAATATGTATTCAAATCAGGGTCCTAAGCTCCCTAAATATTCCAAAAAATAATCTTAACCATAAGAAAAAAGGATAGAAAATGACACGACGGATTAGACCTACAAATCTGCTTTCTCTGAATGTTCAAACATAGTGTTCGCACGCCATTGAACCATGTCACCGTTAGCATCCGTAGAACCTTGGATTTCTGTGGATGCATTCTCCAAAGTAATACTTGTTCGGTTAAGTTCAGAATTCATAGCTGAAATCCACTTAGCTAACACTGGTTTGCTCGGCATCTTCTCATCTTTTTCCTTGTCTTCAACCCCTTACAAGATAAACCTTTAACTGCAGCAAGACCTTTATTTTACACTTTTGGACTGGCCCCTCGAGTAGTTCTTTGAAAAATGTCTAAGTTACATTTCTGTGGAGCTAAGTTCTCATAATTTTCTGTCACCTGTATAGCCACATGTTTGTCTTTATTCCAAGATGAAGCAACACTTGTAATCTTACCTATTTAAGCCACAACAATATTGTTGTCCGTTCGTTGTGAACCCGCTACATCACTTCTTTTTGGTTTATTAAACTCTTTAGAAACTCGTCTTGCTCCCCTTTGCCTGCTAGATTCAGTACTACCACTTGCCTTAGCGTTCAAATGACTAGAAGAAGACATCGCTTCCTTATTATTAGTCCTCATCATAGATGGCTTTTGTATCGAGTTACTTCCTGGATTATCATCAACTTGAATTGCCTGCAAGGCCTCAAAGCGAGATCCCGAATTATGAGCAGTGTTTTGCCTCCCTGTATCTGAGCTTGCAATCGTTTTGACCCCAATGTTCTTTTTTCTCCTATTCATCACTTGTATCCAAGGACCATACAGATCATCGGATTTCCCAATATCCTGTGCTTTATGTGCTTCACCATTATCAACATTAACTACTTTACCACAGTGTTCCTGTACATGCCCTTACTTCCCACAAGAATAATAAATAGTTGGTAATCCTTCATATTCGATTAACTGACGATGACCGTCTATCACTATTTCAGAGATCAGTGGCTTGTCCAAATCAACAACAACCGCGAGTCGTGCAAAGCGACTTTCTCTTCCCATTTTCTGTATTATAGTCTATCCTTACCACCTCACCAATAGCTCATGCAATATGTCCAAAAAGACTATGTGTATAATAGCGATAGGGTAAACCTGGTAGCCTCACCCACATCATAATCTTTATTGGATAATCCATGGCGGTAGAGAACTGTCTACTCCACGGTTGAACGGTAAGTTAGCTTCCATATATCATCCAAGAACCACCTGTCAATACATGAGAAAGATCTTTCTCACAAGCAAAACGAACAAGATAATACTCATTGTCAAGATCAATGTGGCTAATATCCCCTGAAAGATTCCATAGTGATTTGATCCTACTCAGCAAGGCCTTATACCCAATCGTTTTCCCCAGTAATCGAATAACCACAGAATTAACCAGTTTGGCATCAATAGCATCGTGGACTCTATCTGAGAAGTTAATCGTATGCAGAGTGCCATCAACGCCCAAAACTACATCCTCAGGGTGAACATCCACATCGAAATCATTAATCGAAATGGGTTGGTTACCAACCAGTTTTGGACCCCTTACCATATCACAAAAAAAGGATGACCGTTGTTGAATGCTCCAATTCCTTACCCCAAGTTCTCCGATCTAACATCCACAGGATCACCCATGGGGGAATCAACACCATTACCGCCAGGATGATCTGAAGGATGTTGAAGTGGTGGGTCTGCCAATCCGATTTCGCCATCAGGCGACAGACCACCATGGCCGCTGAATTGATCCATGACAGCAGGAAAGACAAGATTCTCGGAAGGGTTGGGCGCCATTTGAAATTCTTACAAAATTCTGGTTTTGTAATTTTTTTTAGTTATGTGTAGTTATTAATAAATCATCAACCTAAAAGTTTTCTAGTTCATCTTTGTGTAATAAAATTATTGTTTGGTGTTACATTTTAGAAGCATATTAAAAACATTAATCCTACTTATGTTCTTAACACTCTCAACCATTTGATAATGAACGTTCAAATATCCAAGTAGCTCCTAGTTTTCGAGAACTTGAGACCTCTAAGAATAACAATTATCCCTTTAATCACTGAGATAACTTAGTTCATGATTTATTTTAATATATTTAAATGTTTTATTTATTATTTGTTTAATATATTACATTGTCGCGTTACTATGTTTATTAAAGGAAATTTTTGTGTGGGGTCTTCATAGTGTATAATGTTTTTATTTTAAAACATCTAATTAAATTATTATGATGATTCCATTCAAAGTTTTTATTTTATTTCTAAATTGTGTATTTAAAAAAAGGATGGTCAGTACATTGACTTTCAATCAAGGATTCATATCTAATTAGTGGAAAAAATTTAGAAAATAAAAATAAAAATTTATTTAAATAATAATATAATTTTAAATAACATATAAAGGATTGATGCCAGGATGGATCACGTGATTGTTGGATTGTGGTCGCACCCCTAGAATTTTTACTCTTATATTTTAAAGTTTTTTTTTATATTTTTATTGATTATTTAAAAATAAATTCCTAAAATTTTATAATGGTATGATCCTAAAATTTTTAATATAAATTTTTAAATTCACCTATATAACATAAAATTTTGGGTACTTCCTTATCGACAGATATTGACATATATGTTTGTCGGCAAGCCGATTTAAGATACGTACCATTAAAATTTGTTCATGCAATCATTTTTGTATTCATCAACGACCCTTCTTTTCGTTTCTATAAATACCCATCGTCCCCATATGTAGTACCGAACTTGTAGAAACAAGAACGATGATGGCTTTCAGTAGCAAGGCTCTTTGCTTCAACAAACAAATGATTTCGAGTTCCATTAGGCATCCCTCTGTCGACAAAAAAACAGCCACTGCTCCGGTTGTTTCCCTTCCGGAGATTCCCCGAACACAACCAGCTTTGACCATGAACAATCCTCTAGTTAAAACCCTTGATAAGCAAGAGATTCTTGAAAATATTCCAGGGAAATTTGGAAAGTTTGGGGGGAAGTATGTGCCCGAGACACTCATCTCTTGTTTAACTAAACTTGAAGCTGAGTTCAACCTGGTTTTGCATGATTCTGAGTTTCAGGTTAATTCATGTTTGATATTGATCGAATCCCAGTAACTAAGATTTACTGTATGTTTTAATGGATCATGCGTATTTGTTGCAGGAGGAGCTGGCAACGGCATTAAAGGACTACGTCGGAAGAGAGACACCTTTATACTTTGCTCATCGGTTAACAAATCACTACAAGAACAGCCAAGGCGAAGGACCGGAGATTTATCTAAAGAGAGAGGATCTCAACTACGGTGGGGCTCACAAAATAAATAACGCCATAGCGCAGGCAATGATCGCCAAGCGATTGGGCCGGAAAACCATAGTGGCGGCCACCGGAGCTGGACAGCATGGAGTAGCAACCGCCGCTGCATGTGCTAAGCTTTCTCTAGACTGTACCATCTTCATTGGAGCCACGGACATGGAAAAACAAGCCTCCAACATCCTATTAATGAAGCTTCTCGGTGCTAAGGTAGAGCCTGTGGATGGAACATTCAAAGATGCGAGCTCGGAAGCCATAAGGGCGTGGGTTGGGGAGCTTGAAACGAGCTATTATCTGACGGGAACGGCAGTAGGGCCTCATCCGTGTCCGAGCATGGTACGCGAATTTCAATCCGTCATTGGAAAAGAGACGAGAAGGCAGGCCATGGAGAAATGGGGTGGAAAACCAGATTTACTTGTGGCTTGCATCGGGAGTGGATCCAATGCTTTGGGTTTATTTCATGAGTTCATAGAGGACGAAGATGTGAGGTTGATCGGGGTGGAGGCTGCTGGGTTTGGGCTTGATAGTGGTAAACATGCTGCAACTTTAGCTAGGGGACATGTGGGTGTGTATCATGGTGCAATGAGTTATCTTTTACAGGATAATGAAGGACAAATTCCGAGTCCCCATTCCATTGGTGTAGGGTGCGTATACTAACAATTTTATATGTTCACTACTTAATATAAAAAATTATGTCCTCATCGTGATTTTAAATCACGGTCGCGGTCGTGTTTTTAGTCATTTTATGTTTACCGCGATTGCGGCCATAACTAGTGCTATTGGGCGCTATTACGGGTGTAGTGGGTAACTCGGACGGCGGGACTAGCGCTATTTCTCGGGTGCTATCACTTTTTCGAATCGCAATTTAAAACCCTGGTCCTCATCTCATTACTTCTATTTTTTATTTATGTTCAACGTATTCTAACTGAAGTAAATGGCATGCAGGCTAGAGTATCCAGGGGTTGGACCGGAGGTGAGCTTTTTAAAAGAAACAGGTCGAGCCGAGTTTCATACTGCCACAAACAAAGAAGCTGTGGATGGTAAGCTACCAAAAGTTTTTCTTTTTCCTCTTATTCTTTAAAATTTAAAGATAATAAACATGAGATGAATGCTTTTACTTGCAGCATATCGACGGCTATGCCGATTGGAAGGCATAATACCGGCGTTAGAGGCCTCACATGCATTGGCTTTCCTTGACAAACTATGTCCTACTCTGCCCCATGGGACCAAAGTTGTCGTCAATATCAGCGGTCGTGGAGATAAAGACGCTGCCATTGTCTCCCAATACTAACCACATTATTCAATGGTTTCACAATATACGTGGAGAGCGACAATGAAGGGCCAACACATAAAAAATATATATAGTAATATAAGATTTAAAACTACTACTACTTTTTCAACCACTGCATAATGTACGGTTGATTGTGTGAATGAATTATGTTGAATTTATAATTAAACCAATTACAATTGGCAGATCTAGAAATTAACAAAAAATTTCTTATTTTTTTATTTTCATTAACAAATTAAACTAAATTTAATATTTTTAAAAAAATAATAGGTATGTAATGACTCCCTATATAGCCACATACATCCACCCCGATTCCAATATATCCTTAAAATGAAAAAAACGTGAATGAAAAAAACGTGAATGCGTGTGAAGGCTGTTTAAACCATCGAATTAGTAAAAGATCAAATGAGACTATTATATTATGGGTTTATATCAAATCAATTTAAAAATTGATTTAATAATAATGAATCATGTAACCGTAATAAATAAAGTGATAATTGTTATTTTTAGAAATTTAAATTTTCGAGTTCAAATATCAATGATTATAAGATATTAGAATCTTCATTTATTAAATTATCCAAAGCCTTAAATAATATCATTCATAATCAATCTAGATTAATCAAAAAATTAATTTAATAAAAAGATTAATAATTTTTCGGAGAAGTTTGAAAACCTTACGTACCATTAATGGCAGATATTATTATGGTCGTGAGCAAGAATGATGATCAGTATGATTGTGGAAACTGGAAGGGACAACGAATATGAGAGCAATATGGGAGGTATTGGGATTCGAAAAATCATGTTGGAGACTACCGAAATTATGAAGAACGGTATAGCAGAAATGACAATAGGTGCTTCCTAAAATAGCAGGAGATGATAGGTGATATTATCCGTACCGACCGCCGAAAACTGACAGGTCCATCGGTTCAGATGAAGACAATAAATGCATGAGATTTGGTTTCATAAGGTTCAAATCTTATGCTAAGGATATATTGTAATTTGCTTAATAATAACTTTTAATTAAAAACAATGGTTATTATCATTTGCTCATAGGTAATTAGTCAAAGTCTAATACACCTTGAGAATCATTGTGAACTGTCTACTCAAACTGTCAAACTCGTTGTGTACTTGTGTTGGCTGAATGTCGTTGTATAGCTGAATTGCATGACTCTGAGTTTTATTATTTTGTTGTCTTATGTTATTCGTTCAATGACTGATGAGTACTGTTATACCATGCTCAGTGGTTTTCTTTATATTATTGTTAAATGTATGTTGTCATTGGTTTACATTATAATTAATAGACTATAAAGTTAAAATATCGATTAAGTATTAGTTCGATTGATACTTTTACGCTTTTAATATCAAAGAGGTTGTGAACTTAAAAACGTTTACGTGTAATTACTCTGATTTGAGAATTTGACTTATGGACAATTAGAGGTGGCAAACGGGTCGGATTGGATTTGGGTTGGGTTGGATCGTTTTGGATCAGATTATTTTGGATTTAAATTATATTCGATTTAGGTTTGAATTAGGTTATATAAGATCTGATTCAAATTTAGTTCGGATATATGATAGATTAGGTCAAGTTGGGTATCAAGACAGGTCAATATCGAGTTTGGTTAAATTTTGGGTTAGATAAATATTAAATCAATTGTTTTTCAGCTTGGGTGAATATTAAATCTATTGATTTTCAGGTTAGATCATATCAAATCGGTCCGTTTTTTGATCATGTCAATACCAAATCAGTTGATTTTTTTGTCATGTAAATCTTGGATATTTGGGTCAAATCGGGTTAAGTTGGGGAATGAGTCCAATCGAGCATATATAGAATTATTAATATATTCTTGTAACAATGTGTTTTTTGTTTGTTTGTTAATCTTATCATATGGGATCAATTTCTTTCGACTTCGATCATCATTTAGTGGTGATAATTTAACGTGAACCTAACTTATAAGATGTGTTAGAGTTTGTGACCTTTTTCGTATTATTTCGGTTTGAAGAAATTACGGTGTGACCTATTCTATGAAAAAAAAAATTATAAATTTTATTATCAATTAAACTTTTTAACCAGATGTTTAATTATAAATATAATATTTTCATTGAATATGAGCAACAATAATAAATTAATTATATTTGAATGAATATTAGATTAAATGATTTTATAAAGGATATTATACTATTGATAATATTTTAATTTTAAATTATTAATAAAAATAATGTTTTATATTATAGAAATTAAAATATTTTTATATTGAATTTAAGTAATTACATGGACGAATTAAAATGATTTGTGAATTACTTTAATAGTTTTTTAAAAATATTTAACCATTTCAAAGTGAAATATTAAATTAATAGATCATGATTTGATTTAAATGGTGAATGAGTGTTGGCACAAGATGTTGAGATTCAAGAATTTGAGTTTATAAGGTCAAGTTTGAATCCTATCACTGTCACTATTGGTGGACAATATGTAAATTCCTAACTAATTGGGTCTTAGGTGTGCCCTAACCCTGAACTAGGAGAGCCACCCATGACATAAACTTTTTTGTACCAAAAAAATGATTTGATTTAAATGGTTTAGAAATTATTTTAATAATTTTAGATTGTTATTTAATAGAGTTTAAAATAAAAAATGTTTAATTAATAATCATTATTTGAATAATTTAAAAATTGATTTTAACACCCTTAACCTATATACGTACCCGAATACGAGTAAAAAATGTCACATATCATTTACAAACATACTATAATTGAAAATCAGTACAAATTTGAATTTTGAAAACTTATCTAATTTAATCATTTCAATATAATAATATAATCACGTAAAATCATATTATAATATTTAAACATCCAAACCAATATGAATTTCAGGCAACAACTAGACAATTCTATATTATTTCCTATCATTAAGTAAACTACCTAATAATTGTTTAATTTAAAATATTTCTTTATTCTAATAAAATATAATTTTTTATCTAAAATAGTAAAACTTAAATTTATATTATATTCATAACAATATATCTCATACATTTCTTATTCGTATACACGTAATCTAAAAATTTTAGAAGAGTAGGATGTCATTACTAATACTTGTAATTATTCTTTGTTGATTGATGCCAACTCCACTCCTTACTTCACTTGCTCTTCTCAACCTACGCGTGAAAAATCATCACACGCTAAGTATACATTTAGTGAGACATTATAAACAAAATAAGGTGGTATCTAATATAAAACAACTTAATAATATTATATCAATTTAAAAAATTAAACTTGAATTCAAATAAAATCATTAAACATTCAAACCGACTTATTCAAGCCGTTTTTTCCTCATCAGAAACCTGAAAATCATCATCTAATGATTTTGTCAAAAAAATGATAATTAATATCAAACATAATAATCATGCCATATTCTTTTTCATTCAGATATATTTATGAACATTTCATATTCTATTTTCATCTTTCACTTTTGTATTCATTTTCATATTTTTTCTTTCAGATACTTGCCATAACTTTCACATTTACTTTCATAGCCCAATGTATATGTAAGAAAATGCAAGGTACGTGAGTCATACATAATATCCGCACTAGGCACTTCAAGGTGCCAATCATAACTTATCATAAGATGCACTCCAAGTGAAAATCATATCATATGCACCAACGTTGCCATATGTAATGTACACGAATGTACCATAACTTAACTTGAACTTTACTCAATTTCCTGACATGCCAAATTACCTACGACTCTCCATGCAACATACAATGGGCTTCATAATCAATTTCTTATCATATTATATTCATATATTAATCAACATTTACATATCATAATCAATTCCAACTTATCATCATAAAATTTATAACTTGGACAGTTCATACCCGAAATCATTCATAATTAAAATACATATATCATGTAAAAAACTTTGGGAAATTCATGCTCTAAAATAAATAAAAATAACATTTCTAAAATCATTAAAGATATATTCCATTACTTAAATTATAGATAGTTATTTTATATTATAATCGAAATTTCATTCGAATATCTTTTAAGAAGATATCATATAAAAACATATTGAATAATTTCATACCCAAAAATAATCATAAATCTCTCTATAAGAATTATGAAAATAAATTTATATTTATAATTAAATCATACTTAAAATTTCATATTTTAAAACAATAATATGATGTTGACTTATCACAAGTCTTGCTCCTGAATAATTAAATAAATAAAATGCACTCTATCTGACACTTAAAAATATTAGCCTCACTAAGCTTTAAGTTTAATCCTTTGCTTTCCATTTGCTTCGATCCCGAAATTTATCACAATTTCATACTCTAGCAGTTTACACTACCTTCAAAGAAATATTATTCTGTATTAATCTACACACTTAAAAATTATTCCACTTGTACCAATGAAAACTAGACTCATATAGGGGGTGCTTAACGAGTTGAGTAGCTCGACTCGACTCGGTCAAAACTCGATAAACGCTCGACTCGAGTATGCTGGACTCGAACTCTACTCGATACCTTAACGAGCTGAGCCAAGCAAAGTCTAATTCGACTTAATAAGTTCGCGAGAACTCGCTAATTTTTAAAAATATTTTTTAGTAATTACTTCAAAATTGTTTCATTCAAAAAATAAATCAAATAATATTATTAATTTATTAATAATAATAAAATAAGTTAACTAATCTATTATTTTTAATAAATAACAAAATATTATTAATTAATATATTATTTTAATAAAAAAAACCAACCCTAATATCCTCGTATAGTATAGAAAATTTATTTTTAGTTAAAAAATCAGTTAATTTTTTTAGTGAGCTTAACAGCAACGAGTCGAGCTTAATGAGCAACGAGTCGAGTTGAGCAGCAATTTTTTTTAATGAGCACGAGTCGAACATCAAATTTTTTAATGAGACGAGTCGAGCACTGCCCAATTCGCGATCGACTTGCTCGATAAGAACCCCTAGACTAGAATATGAATCTAACCATATAAGGCTCTTCTTCTAGTTCAATTTATAGTGAAT